GAGATGGTATGAGGAGAGATGGTATGGAGGAGAGAGGGAGGGGGAGGAGAGGGTATGGAGGAGAGATGGTATGGGGGGAGAGATGGTATGGGAGAGAGAGGGTATGGAGGAGAGAGGGTATGGAGGAGAGATGGTATGGAGGAGAGAGGGAGGGGGAGAGAGGGTATGGAGGAGAGATGGTATGGAGGAGAGATGGTATGGAGGAGAGATGGTATGGGGGAGAGATGGTATGGAGGAGAGAGGGTATGGGGGAGAGATGGTATGGAGGAATTGGGGTGATAAATGAGAAGGGGGGCTTACTACAGGTTGCGGAGGGACCTACTTGTTTTTGGGAGAGAATGACTGTGAGAATGTTCTGGTGACTTTTGAAAAGTGCATTCTACTCCAAAATGAATGAAAAATATAATGATGGTGACAACTAAAATACACCCCCCCCCCCCCCCCCCCCCCCCCCCCCCCCCCCCCCCCCCCCTTCCAGACATGAGCCCAATAACATATTGGTCATATTATCAGACAGGTATTCTATTTAGCAATAAGCATTATCGCCTGATGTAGCCTAGTGGCTAGAAGTAAATAGGCTGTGGTTTGCTATCTGCATGTACCCCGTTGGGCTAATCGTTAGCTGGGCTAATCGTTAGCTAGACCAACTCTAAACACTCGGCTAGCTGGTTGCTAGTTAGCAACGTATTAAAGACTCCCCCGAAGATGTTCCAACCAAGGATCATGCAGTGTGAATATAACGTAGGCCTAGCTGTTACACCTGACGTGTTACATTTAGCCCCGGTCTTCCCTGTGCGTTCAGCGCCATCGCACATAAACCACGCTGCTGCTAAAAAAAAAAACTCTGGTTCTAAAATGGTGCATTTGACTAATTTCTTGGATTTGAGAAATAAGTGTAGCCTGGTAACACTAGAAAGCTCAGTGATCCTCTTGTTTTTTATTTTTTATGGTGGCCATGAAAACTGATTTCAAGGGAGTGTTGATGACTGGGAATGAATATTTCTCTACCTGTGTGGCACTTTAATTTGAATGCTCCTTCGAGAGGAATATTATTTTCTCGCGTAGAGTGCGACAAGCTGAACAATTGAATGGGTAAACTATTCTACTGTGGGGTTGTTGGATTTTGCTGTTGATTACTCGTGTTTGCTCTGAAAATTCACATAACCAAAAGGTACCGGGGTCTCGGCTCTCATTTGGATCATAGGTGCCGGGTCTTGGACCCCAGCGGCACCCAGCCCAATTTAACTCCTGCTAACAGTCTTTTACCCAATCACAGCAAACTACTCACATTCCATCCAATCACGTCGTCCAGTGCTTGACATCTGACCTCCGACCTCTATGCTGCAGGTATGAGCAGAGCGAGTGGGGATGGAAGGAGAGGGAAAAGAGAGATGAGATGAAGGACGAGAGGGCGTGGTATCTGCTGGCTCGAGACACAGATTCCTCCCCCGTGGCCTTCTCTCACTTCCGATTCGACGTCGAGTGCGGGGAGGAGGTGCTATACTGGTAAGGGGTTGTCATGGTGTGCTTTTACAGGAACTGACAGTTACTATAGCCACAGATAGAACAATGAGCCAGATATTTCTCTGGATGTATAAATGTGAAGCGTCCGGTTGGCGTTTCCACTCACTACCAAATATGGTGATGAGAGGAAGCCAAGTGGGAGAAGATGGAGCGAGAGACGGATTTTGGCCGACATTCTGCACATTTTCTCATCGTTGAAAAGTTTGCTCCAAAACTATAATCTGTTAAAGAACGGAGTGGGCGAAGTTTTGTAGACTTTACCCTTTGCCAAAGTTTCTAAAAAATTGCATTCTTTAGGAGTGCAAGAGTGAAATGAGTTATTGCACACGTGCACGTAAGAGTAGGCGTTCCCTAATGGAAATATGCAAATGTATGCCAGATTGCTCCAATAGGATCTCACTAGCTCGTGCTTGGTTCTGCCCACCTCCTTACTTGTTCTGCCCACTATGATTAATTTGCTCCCCATTGGAAACGACTGGCTCTGGTCTATCTTGGGTTATTTATTAACATCTTTGCTATAGCTAGTAGTATTGAAATTGATTATCGTATAGTACAGGTTTTTTTTTTTTAAGTAGTAGAAATAGTAAGTTTCCTTGTCTGAGCCATAGGGCAGGAGCCTATCTCCTGTTTCTGTAGTGTATGAGGCAGCTTGTTGTACAAGTACTCCCCCTGAGCAGGACACTAGTCTGTTGCAGGGCCTTATGCTGCGGCCATCTTGTAAATTTGTAAATACGAGCACACGACTGGGAAGAATCCACTTGGAACGCCCCTCCCGACTGTTAATTACTTGTGGGGAAACTCCTCTATCGTTCCTTTTTTTATTTTTTTTGAGTCTTTGATACGACTTAACAGGGGAATGAACCCAGACAGTGTTATTGTGGTTGTTGATGTGTTGTTGTTGTTGTTGTTGTTTGTAGTTATGAGGTCCAGCTGGAGAGTAGAGTGAGGAGGAAAGGACTGGGAAAGTTCCTCATCCAGATACTGCAGCTCATCGCCAACAGGTACATGTTATATACACTGAACCAGATACTGCAGCTCATCGCCAACAGGTACATGTTATATACACTGAACCAGATACTGCAGCTCATCGCCAACAGGTACATGTTATATACACTGAACCAGATACTGCAGCTCATCGCCAACAGGTACATGTTATATACACTGAACCAGATACTGCAGCACATCGCCAACAGGTACATGTTATATACACTGAACCAGATACTGCAGCACATCGCCAACAGGTACATGTTATATACACTGAACCAGATACTGCAGCACATCGCCAACAGGTACAGTGAGGGAAAAAAGTATTTGATCCCCTGCTGATTTTGTACGTTTGCCCACTGACAAAGACATGATCAGTCTATAATTTGAATGGTAGGTTTATTTGAACAGTGAGAGACAGAATAACAACAAAAAAATCCAGAAAAACGCATGTCAAAAATGTTATAAATTGATTTGCATTTTAATGAGGGAAATAAGTATTTGACCCCCTCTCAATCAGAAAGATTTCTGGCTCCCAGGTGTCTTTTATACAGGTACCGAGCTGAGATTAGGAGCACACTCTTAAAGGGAGTGCTCCTAATCTCAGTTTGTTACCTGTATTAAAGACACCTGTCCACAGAAGCAATCAATCAATCAGATTCCAAACTCTCCACCATGGCCAAGACCAAAGAGCTCTCCAAGGATGTCAGGGACAAGATTGTAGACCTACACAAGGCTGGAATGGGCTACAAGACCATCGCCAAGCAGCTTGGTGAGAAGGTGACAACAGTTGGTGCGATTATTCGCAAATGGAAGAAACATAAAATAACTGTCAATCTCCCTCGGCCTGGGGCTCCATGCAAGATCTCACCTCGTGGAGTTGCAATGATTATGAGAACGGTGAGGAATCAGCCCAGAACTACACGGGAGGATCTTGTCAATGATCTCAAGGCAGCTGGGACCATAGTCACCAAGAAAACAATTGGTATCACACTACGCCGTGAAGGACTGAAATCCTGCAGCGCCCGCAAGGTCCCCCTGCTCAAGAAAGCACATATACATGCCCGTCTGAAGTTTGCCAATGAACATCTGAATGATTCAGAGGAGAACTGGGTGAAAGTGTTGTGGTCAGATGAGACCAAAATGGAGCTCTTTGGCATCAACTCAACTCACCGTGTTTGGAGGAGGAGGAATGCTGCCTATGACCCCAAGAACACCATCCCCACCAGCAAACATGGAGGTGGAAACATTATGCTTTGGGGGTGTTTTTCTGCTAAGGGGAGAGGACAACTTCACCGCATCAAAGGGACGATGGACGGCGCCATGTACCGTCAAATCTTGGGTGAGAACCTCCTTCCCTCAGCCAGGGCATTGAAAATGGGTCGTGGATGGGTATTCCAGCATGACAATGACCCAAAACACATGGCCAAGGCAACAAAGGAGTGGCTCAAGAAGAAGCACATTAAGGTCCTGGAGTGGCCTAGCCAGTCTCCAGACCTTAATCCCATAGAAAATCTGTGGAGGGAGCTGAAGGTTCGAGTTGCCAAACATCAGCCTTGAAACCTTAATGACTTGGAGAAGATCTGCAAAGAGGAGTTGGACAAAATCCCTCCTGAGATGTGTGCAAACCTGGTGGCTAACTACAAGAAACGTCTGACCTCTGTGATTGCCAACAAGGGTTTTGCCACCAAGTACTAAGTCATGTTTTGCAGAGGGGTCAAATACTTATTTCCCTCATTAAAATGCAAATTAATTTATAACATTTTTTACATGCGTTTTTCTGGATTTTTTTGTTGTTATTCTGTCTCTCACTGTTCAAATAAACCTACCATTTAAAATTATAGACTGATCATTTCTTTGTCAGTGGGCAAACGTACAAAATCAGCAGGGGATCAAATACTTTTTTCCCTCACTGTACCTGTTATATACACTGAACCAGATACTGCAGCACATCGCCAACAGGTACATGTTATATACACTGAACCAGATACTGCAGCGCATCGCCAACAGGTACATGTTATATACACTGAACCAGATACTGCAGCACATCGCCAACAGGTACATGTTATATACACTGAACCAGATACTGCAGCACATCGCCAACAGGTACATGTTATATACACTGAACCAGATACTGCAGCGCATCGCCAACAGGTACATGTTATATACACTGAACCAGATACTGCAGCGCATCGCCAACAGGTACATGTTATATACACTGAACCAGATACTGCAGCTCATCGCCAACAGGTACATGTTATATAGTACATAACAAAAATAAACGCAACGTGCAACAATTTAACCGGTTTTTACTGCGTTACAGTTCATAGAAGGAAATCAGTCAATTTAAATAAATAAATTAGGCCCTAATCTGTGGATTTCACATGTTGTGTTCATATTTTTGTTCAGTACACTATCATACTACAGTGAACAAAAATATAAACACAACATGTAAAGTGTTGGTCCCATGTTTCATGAGCTGAAATAAAAGATCCAAGAAATTTTCTAGACGCACCTAAAGCTTATTTCTCTTAACTTTTTGGCACAAATGTGTGTACATCCCTGTTAGTGAGCATTTCTCCTTTGCCAAGATCCACCTGACAGGTGTGGCATATCAAGACGCTGATTAAACAGCATGATCATTACACAGGTGCACCTTGTGCTGGGGACAATAAAATGCCACAAAAATGTGCAGTTTTGTCACACAACACAATGCCACAGATGTCTCTAGTTTTGAGGGAGTGTGCAATTGGCATGCTGACTGCAGGAATGTCCAACAGAGCCGTTACCAAATAATTAAATGTTCATTTCTCTACCATAACCTGCCTCCAACGTTGTTTTAGAGAATTTGGCAGTACGTCCAACCGGCCTCACAACCCCAGACCACATGTAAACACGCCAGCCCACAGGACCTCCACATCCGGCTTCTTCACCTGTGGGATCGGCTGAGGAGTATTTCTGTCTGTAATAAAGCCCTTCTGTGGTGTGAAACTCATTCTGATTGGGTGGGCCTGGCTCCCAAGTGGGTGGGCCTATGCCCTCCAAGGCCCACTTATGGCCAGTCATGTGAAATCCAAAGATTAGGGCCTAATGAATTTATTTAAATTGACTGATTTCCTTTATATGAACTGTAACTTATTTTTGTTCAGTATAGTTCCTCATCCAGATACTGTCGCTCATCGCCAACATGTCTATGTACTGAATATCTATGTTCTAATATCTTTGTCCTGAACCAAGTTGCCATAGCAATGCTAGAAAGCTCATAAGCTATCCCAGAATGTCTTAAGTTTCTCTGGAATGCAAATATACTGGAGAGAAAAGAGCAGTAGCAACTAGCTAGCCATCTCAACTATCCTACCACCTAGCTAACCATCTCAACTATCCTACCACCTAGCTAACCATCTCAACTATCCTACCACCTAGCTAACCATCTCAACTATCCTACCACCTAGCTAGCCATCTCAACTATCCTACCACCTAGCTAACCATCTCAACTATCCTACCACCTAGCTAGCCATCTCAACTATCCTACCACCTAGCTAACCATCTCAACTATCCTACCACCTAGCTAACCATCTCAACTATCCTACCACCTAGCTAACCATCTCAACTATCCTACCACCTAGCTAACCATCTCAACTATCCTACCACCTAGCTAACCACACCTAGCTAACCATCCAACTATCCTACCACCTAGCTAGCCATCTCAACTATCCTACCACCTAGCTAACCATCTCAACTATCCTACCACCTAGCTAATCACCTCAACTATCCTACCACCTAGCTAACCATCTCAACTATCCTACCACCTAGCTAACCATCTCAACTATCCTACCACCTAGCTAACCATCTCAACTATCCTACCACCTAGCTAACCATCTCAACTATCCTACCACCTAGCTAGCCATCTCAACTATCCTACCACCTAGCTAACCATCTCAACTATCCTACCACCTAGCTAACCACCTCAACTATCCTACCACCTAGCTAGCCATCTAAACTCAAACTTGACTCTCTCTCTCTCTCTCTCCCCGGAAACGTATGTTAACATTGCCAAAGCAAGTGAAATAGATAATAAACAAAATATTAACAGTAAACATTACACTCACACAAGTTCCAAAAGAATAAAGACATTTCAAATGTCATATTATGTCTATGTACAGTGTTTTAATTATTCTCTCTCTCGCTCTCTCTAGCACACAGATGAAGAAGGTGATGTTAACAGTATTCAAACACAACCGCGGGGCGTACCAGTTCTTCAGAGAAGCTTTACAGTGGGTCTCCATTGCAGCATCAACAGCTGCTTCCCAGCATGTACAAACATGATTGTGTTCTTTTAGAATTCACTGTTGATACTGTACTCAACCACACTTCCCTTCATCTTTCCTCTTCCTGTGCTTCTCTCTATCTTTCCCCTCTCCCAGGTTTGAGATCGACGACACTTCCCCCAGTATGTCTGGTTGTTGTGGCGACGACTGCACCTATGAGATCCTGTCGCGGCGGACCAAACACGCCGAGGCCCAAGCCGAGGCCCAGGGGCACAGCCACGGGGGAGGGGGGCACTGTGGAGGCTGCTGCCACTGAGGAAGCCTGTTCCTGTTTCACCACTTCCTGGTCCAACGCTCTAGAAGCTCCCCCTCGCCCGCTTCTCTGCTCATGAGTCATTACTGTACACCCCCAACCTCCAATCCGACACCTCCAAATGCCCCAAAACTAACCCCCAACCCCTGGCCCCCTCTTCCCTGTCTCTCTCCTCTCTATTTCCTGTCTCTCTCCTCTCTATTTCCTGTCTCTCTCCTCTATATTTCCTGTCTCTCTCCTCTCTATTTCCTGTCTCTCTCCTCTCTATTTCCTGTCTCTCTCCTCTCTATTTCCTGTCTCTCTCCTCTCTATTTCCTGTCTCTCTCCTCTCTATTTCCTGTCTCTCTCCTCTCTATTTCCTGTCTCTCTCCTCTCTATTTCCTGTCTCTCTCCTCTCTATTTCCTGTCTCTCTCCTCTCTATTTCCTGTCTCTCTCCTCTCTATTTCCTGTCTCTCTCCTCTCTATTTCCTGTCTCTCTCCTCTCTATTTCCTGTCTCTCTCCTCTCTATTTCCTGTCTCTCTCCTCTCTATTTCCTGTCTCTCTCCTCTCTATTTCCTGTCTCTCTCCTCTCTATTTCCTGTCTCTCCTCTCTATTTCCTGTCTCTCTCTTCTCTATTTCCTGTCTCTCTCTTCTCTATTTCCTGTCTCTCTCTTCTCTATTTCCTGTCTCTCTCCTCTATATTTCCTGTCTCTCTCCTCTATATTTCCTGTCTCTCTCCTCTATATTTCCTGTCTCTCTCTTCTATATTTCCTGTCTCTCTCCTCTCGATTTCCTGTCTCTCCCCTCCATACAATTTCAGTATTTGATAAGTTAGGAATCTGTCTGTTTCCACCCATCCACCTCTTCAACAGCTTTCTGAACTGTCCCAAGGCTCCGTCCCAATAATCCTAATGTGCGTACTATTATGGATGAAGCGACGTATTAGCCATGCATTCTGAATGGTAAATTAGGGTGGATTGTTGGGACAGAGCCCCACAAATGTATTTCTTTTTTTTAGTTTGATCAGGTGTTCTGTAGATACTTTCTCTCTGGCTCTCTCTCTCTCTCTTCCCTCCCCCCAGAGCCTCTGATCAGTTTCAGTTGTTTTTCTACAGTAAAAAAAAAAAAAAAAATGCAATCTGATGGCAGGATGACCCACTGTTGCTACATTTGTGATGAGAGCGATATATAGTGCACTACTTTTGACCAGGGTCCGTAGGTTAGTAGTGCACTATATAGGGAATAGGGCCGGCCGTGTGGGTCTTGTTGCCATCTCTGTTAACGTACAGAAACCTTCAGGGTATAGTGGCTGGCCTGGGGGCTGGGTTGCCAGATTGAGCGGTTTCCTATAGAGATACTAGAAACCCATCTATCTGGACTGTTAGGCTGTGTAGCTGTGGTTGAATCCCAAATGGCACGCCCATAGGTCTCTGGTTAAAAGTAGTGCACTATATAAGGAATAGGGTTCTATTTGGGATGCAACCTCAGTGAGAGGAAAGAAACTCAAGTCTGGCATCTCACCCAGGCTCGAAGTTTAATGCTTTATTAAAACAACAAAGAAACAAAAACATTGACATTTTTCTTGTGCATTGTATATAGATAAACTGTCATAAGTACAATCACTCGTTTTATTTCCTACTTTCCAACCAGAAAATATCCTACAGACCATGTCTGTCTCAGGTTCAAATCCCAACTGACATAACTGACACTAACAGCCACCTCTTCTTCGTGTTTCTTAGCAACTATGTTACGGTCAAATAGTTTGGGGTAAGAAGACACCCCTAACCAGATTTTACACCTAGTCAGATTAGCATAGTCCTGGACAAAAAAAATTATTGAATGCTTTTTAAATCCAGGACTATGCTTAATATCGGTCTTGGAAACCGGCCCATGGGGGGTGACAATGTTCCTGACCCGAGATCAGCGGTTAGGGCATAGAAATGGAAGTCCTAGAACGGTCATTCCCCATTTACATCAATGGCCGTCTTCTAGAAATCCTATTTCTATAGGTTAGGGGCAACTTGTTTAGCACCAACTCTGTTGGGATGCAGGGGGAGGAGTTTAAAGCTTTCTTCTCCCCCCTAATGGTTAGGGTTGTGGGAGGGATTCTGATCCTAGATCTGTATCTATGGGTAACCTCTACCTGGATTGGTGGCATTGGTCAGGTGTTGCAGGGAGTGGTGCGGACCGGTTTAGTTTAAATTGAAAATAATTTAGTTTAGGGAATAAACTTTTCTTCATTTTTTATATTTTTTAACAGACTTTCTTTTATGACCTGTTGGATATCCTCCCCTCGTCCTCATGTTCGACTCTTTTTAATTTGTTTCGATCTATCCTTGTCTCTTTCTCTCTGTGTATATAATCTGTTACAGATTCATTGGATTTGTTTTTATTTGCTTTTTACAGGTAAAACACTTGTTTCGGTTTAAAAATGACATTTAAACTCAATGTTTGACAATGAGTGTACCTGTCTTGTGATTGATTGATTGATTATTAACTGACAACGATGAAAGGGGAAAAACTAAACGGTCATTTCTGCCTTGTCAGTGTTTTATTTGTATGTTACAAATAAAGGAAACTTGTTTGACTTCTGTTCCAGTCGTCCTGGTTACAATGTAGCTACCAGTACATCCCAAATACCATCCTATATCCAATGCACTGCATTGTGGGCCCTGGTCTAAAGTAGTGCAGTGTTTTCTGTATTTTCAGTCAGTGAGACCAAGTCTCTTTTTTTTTTACAGATGAGCCCTGAATTACAGAAAATACACACAAAATATAAAATGCAAGCAGAAATATAAACACTCATAAAAAAAAATTACACATCAGTAATCGGGTCATCAATCAGCTTTCTGAATTGCTCTAGAGGCACCAAAACATCAAATTTAAGATTGTGAAGATGGTTCCACAAATTAGGTGCAAGAAATTAAAGCTGATTTACCTCTAACTCACTAGAGACCAAAGGAATTTCCAGAGTTCGCCATCCCTGAGATCGGGTGTGGTAACTTTAGTAATGATGTTCAGTGCAGTGGGAGTTTTTGTAAAAGGGCTTTATACAGTGCATTCGGAAAGAATTCAGACCCCGAGACATTTTACACATTTTGTTACGTTACAGCCTTATTCTAAAATTGATTAAATTAAAGTTTTTCCTCATCAATCTACACACAATACCTCATAATGACAAAGCAATATCAGGTTTTTAGAAATTCTTGCGAATTTACACAAAATAAAAAAACTAATGGGGGGGCACAAAACTACTTCCATTAAAACATTTAACCGGTACCGGGTTACCTTTAGAGGAGTCCCGTGACACTTTCCATAGAGTGGTCATATTAGTTTGTAGGCCAAACCATTCGAAAGCTACAGACATTCATGAGAAGACCGATTTTCGGGATGTCTCCTGGTCTGACAAACACAGCTGTAGCTCTGCCTCTTTCCACCACAGATCCAGAAGGCCGACATCGGCGGATGCTGTGGATTGAGAAGCAGCCCATGCAAAAAAAACAGATATCTCTAGTTTAAACAGACGGATTGTTTTAATTGACCGCAGTTTTAAAAAAAAAAATTATTTCCATAGCATTTTCAACTCTACTGATGTTTTTGTTTTTTTCTCACAGAAATGTTTGTGTTATATAGCGAGCATGCCCATTCTGGTATTGGTGTGTGCTCTATAGCTAACAGCAGATAGAATGCGGGTATAGCCTACACGATGACATTATTATGGACAAAAGAGCGAGATTGTTTTTCATTTGTCAAACAGCACCCAAGCATCGAAGATCACGTCACCAGAATAAGACCCTCGATATTTATTGGAAAGGAGCATCAAGCTCATCAACTTGCACTTTCACCATGTGAAGTTCACATTTCTCACATAATTCATTTTACCCACACAAAAGTTTACCGACAATTTTTTTTTTCTTCCATCAGGCCTGTCATGGCATTTTTTATGTGACATACTTCACTAGCATTAAAAGGTTGTATGGAAAGCTGGTTAACCTCTACAGGATTGGTGTCCGGGATACGGGACGGTAGAGCTAACGTGCGCTAATGTGATTAGCATGACTGTTGTAAGTAACAGCAAACTATCCAGGACATAGACATGTCTTATATGGTCAGAAAGCTTACGTTCTTGTTAATCTAACTGCACTGTCCAATTTACAGTAGCTATTACAGTGAAAAAATACCATGCTATTGTTTGAGGAGAGTGCACAACAACAAAAAACTTATCACGGCAACTGGTTGGATACATTCACCTCTGAAGGTAAATAATGTTCTTACATTCAGTAATCTTGCTCTGATTTGTCATCCTGATGGTCACAGAGATAAAAAATAATAAAAAAAAAGTATATTTTGCAATCTATATGGAACAGCTGTACATTTTTTGGTCCTTAAATAAAATTCGGTATACTTTTTTATTCATCACAATTTTCTTTGGTCTTTTTTTCGACAGACAAGTTCCTTACTTTGTCTGCTTTCCACTTGCCTCTTCCTTTTTTGCAGTAATGCTGCAACTAGTTGGTTGTAATTTTGAGTAGAGCAGACATTTCCATATATTTTTGTTAGCTGCATGTGTGACATAACTCCACCAGTCCTATTTATGATATAATTTACAAAGATTATACCTTTTAAATAATTTTTTCATAACATATAAATAAAAACATTTTTTTAATCAATTAGTATATCTGAGTTAAACCACAATATTTGTTGTATTATTTGTTCTGTCTTTTCTGGTGGATTAAACTGAAACTGCAACCAACTTTCAATGGCTTAAAAAAAATGGCGATATTTTGGAGATTATTTCATTTTCAAATAACCGAAAGTGAGAGGTTGTAATCTGAATAAAGGGAAAAAGGCCATTTTTGAACATGGGGTGAGACATTCTTACTAATCTGCTAGAGAACCTGTTCGGATTTAAGTATAGCTTTTGTATGACTGAAGCCTTTAGTGAGATGTCTAATGCTTTAATATTTAATAATTTCTGCTCTTTCCGAATTCATATTCATTATATAAATAGGCCCGTTTAATTTTGTCTGGCTTGCCGTTCCAAATAAAATGGTATCTTTTTTGCTCATATCATTTGAAAAACAGGTTGCTAGGTGTTGGCAAGGCCATAAGCAAATAGGTAAACTGGGATATGACTAAAGAGTTAATCAAGGTGATTTTTCCACAAATAAACAGGTATTTTCCTTTCCATGGTAGCAAGAGCTTATCTATTTTTGCTAACTTTCTATTAAACTTCATTGTAGTGAGAGGTTAGAAAAAGTATCTAGATCCTCTATGAGGCTGTGGAGGGATCCATATTGTGGATTTAAAAGAAAACATACATGAATCATCAGCGTACAATGACACCTTTGTTTTTAAGCCCTGGATTTTTAGCCTCTTGATATTATTGTTGGATCTGATTTTAATAGCTAACATTTAAGATGGCCATAATAAATAGATATGCCGATAGTGGACAACCTTGTTTTACTCCTCGACAGTTTAATACTTTCTGAGAAGTCGCCATTATTTACTATTTTACATAACTTTAACCCATTGTATAAGAGATTCTCCAACATTTTTATATTCCAGGCATTTATATATACATTCCAGTCGTACTTTATCAAAAGCCTTTTCAAAGTCACTTATGAATTCTAGGCCTGGTTTCCCAGATTTTTCATAGTGTTCTATTGTTTCCAGTACTTGTCTTGTATTATCTCCAATGTATCGTCCATGTAAAAAAACCTGTCTGATTAAGATGAATAATATCCGTCAATACCTTTTTAATTCTATGCGCTATGCAGTTTGCTAGAATTTTTGCATCACAACATTGAAGTGAAAGGTGCCTCCAATTTGGATCTTTATATTTACCACTTGGATCCTGTTTCAGTAATAATGAAATCAGACCTTCTTGTTGAGTATCTGATAATCTACCATTTTTATAGGAGTGGTTAAAACATGCTAATAACGGTCCTCTGAGTACATCAAAAAAAGGTTTGGTATACCTCAAGTGGTATGCCATCCAGCCCTGGAGGCCACTGTGTTCTTGGGGACCTTCAGTGCTGCAGAAATGTTTTGGTACCCTTCCCAAAATCTGTACCTCGACACAATCCTGTCTCGGAGCTCTACGGACAATTCCTTCGACCTCATGGCTTGGTTTTTGCTCTGACATGCACTGTCAATTGTGGGACCTTACATAGACAGGTGTGTGCCTTTCCAAAACATGTCCAGTCAATTGAATTTACCACAGGTGGACTCCAATCAAGTTGTGGAAACATCTCAAGGAGGATCAATGGAAACAGGATGCACCTGAGCTCAACTTCGAGTCTCATAGCAAACGGTCTGAATACTTATGTAAATAAGGTATTTCTGTTTATTTATTTTTAATACATTTGCAAAAATGTCGAACAACCTTTGTTCCCTTTGTCATTATGGGATATTGTGTGTAGATTGCTGAGGAATTTTTGTTATTTAATCCATTTTAGAATAAGGCTGTAAAGTAACAAAATTTGGAAAAAGTCAATGGGTCTGAATACTTCCTGAAGGCACTGTATGTATATATATATATATATATATACATTTATATATATATATATATACATTTTCAACAGGATGCTCTATTTTGGATGCAATTTGAATGGAATTGATGGAGGGAGGGATAGACAATGACAGAGTGCTCCCATGCGCACTGATTTGAAGCAACAAAATATAAGCCCCCCAACTGAAAAAATATTTTCACATGACCCTCCCCTTGTACTGGCTAATAAATTGAACACCCTCCCCCCTCATAGAATTAACTCAAAATAATGTTTATGACCACAAATAACAATAACAGTAGCTACCCTATGTTTATATACGTGAATGGTCTGAACACCTATGTGTAAGCATAACTCAGTAAGTGTAGTGGAAGTGTAGTTTAGTCGGATGGAGGGATCCATAACTGTATGGATCTGTGCAAAACTGCTACAGTAATTGTATATTTTTTATTTTAAGGATTCGTTCTCTCTGATGAAAGATAAGGGCATATGTTTGGAAAGGTTCAAACACAGCGTCATGATTGGTGATTGTAGTTCTCATGAGGCAGTGGTGGGCGGAGCTCATCGCTGAGAACTGTAGGAGAAGGCAAAATGCAGCCTTGAGTTTTCGAGCTGGGACCGGAGTGGCTGCCGATGCTCCACTCAGGGTGTGCACAGGAGGGGACATTTGAGACGTATTTATAACTTTTCATTTGAATTTCTTGCCGCGTTCTGTGAAATGTAGTGGAGCCGGAAACTTTCTTCATGCCAACTTTATTCCGGGGGATTTTTTGTGTGCCGTACCTTCAAGCCGGAAGTTGTTGGTATCCATCAAATATGTCATACGTAGCTCACTAACTGAATGAATTATCGCCCATCTAATTGGGTGCATTTATAACGAATGCCTTCCCCAAAATGTCATAAATGAAGAAATGTGGACATTGGTGCGTTACAAGACCTAATACTATTAACGACGTTATTCCTGGTAAGTGCCCATAGATGGCTAACGACAATGTCTAACTAGCTCTAAACCTGGCTAACACCGGGCTAGGTAGCTAGCTAGCAATATCTCCCTGGCTTGCCAGCAAACAAGACTACATAGCTAGTAACTAGCTAACCGAGAATGTAACGTTAGCTAACTAATAACACAGCGAGACATAGCTACCTTTCCCTTCTTTCGCCGTCTCATGAGTGGCCAGCATACTCATGACAAAAAACAAAGCAGTTTACTTGGCTAAGCAGAAACAGACAAGTAATTGGTTTGCGTGTCTAGTGGTAGGCTTGTGTGTTTCTTCTGACCAATTGGTTTTCTGTCCAATGTTGTGTGTGTGTGTGTGTGTGTGTGTGTGTGTGTAGCCGGCGGGTTGCCATGGCTACGAGGATGAAGTTAAAACTGAAGACTGTGTTTGTCCTGTACTTCATGGTCTCACTTATGGGCCTCATCTACGCTCTCATGCAGCTGGGTAAGACTGTATATATGAGAGTAGAAGAAGTTCAGGAGAAAAAACTAACTAAATATAATTATTGTAAAATTGACTGTGTCCATAAAATGTAGATAGTAAGTATAAGCTGGAAGTAGAGGCCTAAGCATTGTTGTTTACTCCAAGTAGGGAAAGGGTGGTGGGGTTGGAAAGTAATAAAGGGGAATATATTTAAAAAATAAAAATAAAAATTAAAAAAAAGAAGAAAGAAAATGTATATCTCTCCTTTCCTCATCTCCTTTCCTTGTCTTCTCTTTCCTCGTCTTCTCTTTCCTCGTCTCCTTTCCTTGTCTTCTCTTTCCTCGTCTTCCCTTTCCTCGTCTCCTTTCCTTGTCTTCTCTTTCCTCGTCTTCTCTTTCCTCGTCTCCTTTCCTTGTCTTCTCTTTCCTCGTCTTCCCTTTCCTCGTCTCCTTTCCTTGTCTTCTCTTTCCCTTGTATCCTCTGTGTATCCTCTCGGTGTCTCCTTTCCTTTGTAATCACTGACAGTCCTATGACGTGCTCATAGATCAGTAGTCTCGCAGGAAAGCATCACAGATCGCTGTTTGGTGAACACAGGCCTAACCAGAGCCATACCTTTGTAAATAAGAAATATAAATATATGGCTTTGGTCCTAACTAGCCTTTACTTCCATGAGATATAGTCCCTGGTCAAAAGTAGTGCACTGAATAGGAGACAGGAATTGAGCTGCATTTCAATTGACACCTTAACTGACTGTATAACCTGTCTCTGTCCCCAGGCCAGCGCTGTGACTGTGCAGAGCATGACATGCCCAAGGACCGTACTATCTCTCGTCTGCGGGGGGAACTGCATCGGCTGCAGGAACAGATGAGGAAGGCTGAGGCCACCAAACCACCCCAGAAACTAGCAGTTAAACCGTCCCAACCCACCATCTACGTCATCACACCAACCTACACCAGGTAGGAAGATGGACAGAGAGAGAGACACACACTTTCTCTACCGCCTGTTGTCTCTTCACTCTCTCTTTCCCTTCCTCCCTCCATCTCTAACATTCTCTCCATCCCCTTCTCTAGGTTTGTCCAGAAAGCAGAGTTAACCCGGCTAGCCCAGACATTTCTCCATGTCCCTCAGATCCACTGGATCTTGGTGGAAGACTCTCCCCATAAAACCCCTCTGGTCTCTGGGTTCCTGGCCTCCAGCGGCCTGGCCTACACACACCTCCACACCCCCACGCCACGCGACCGCAAACTACAGGAGGTGGGTTCAGATTTGGTTGCTGACCAGGCCCACTATTTTGCAGTCGTCTGCCAGATCTCACAATGCCTAGATAGCTAACCGCATTATATAAAGAAATCTGATTTACACAACCTTATTTACTCACTTACAGACTCCTACAGAGTCTACATTTTAAATTAAACGAAGGATTCATTAAATGACCATATTTATTCATTGATTGGATTTATCGTTTGATTTATTGATTGGTTATTCCCCCCAGGGTGACCCTAGCTGGTTGAAGCCCCGCGGGGCGGAGCAGAGGAACGAGGGGCTACGGTGGCTGAGAGAGGACAGGAGGGGGCAGCCTGGAGCAGACACACAGCTGGGCGTGGTCTACTTCGCTGACGACGACAACACCTACAGCCTGCAGCTCTTTGAGGAGGTAGGAGATGGCGACACGGGATCTGGCGTCTTCTCTCTTCACCCTTTTCATTGTTGTCCCCCTGGGGGCGGTGCCAGGAAGAGGGATCAATGAGATAGCCAGCTAACTGTCCTAAATATTCTGAAATAACTTCCTCTTTTCAAGAAATAGACTTGAAATTGGTATGGTTAAATTGATTTGACAACCAACAAGACATATTGAAGTTTAGCTTCCAAAGTGAACCACAACATTTAAGAGCTATATCTAACTTGCATTCTTGTTGACTAGTTTAAAACTTGACTGTAACATCTCTTCTTCTTCCCCTCCCTTTCCACCCCTCCCCCTCTAGATGTGTGGTACCCAGCGTGTCTAACATCTCTCTCTAGATGTGTGGTACCCAGCGTCTCTCTGTAACATCTCTCTAGATGTGTGGTACCCAGCGTCTCTGTAACATCTCTCTAGATGTGTGGTACCCAACGTCTCTCTGTAACATCACACAAGATGTGTGGTACCCAGCGTGTCTCTGTAACATCTCTCTAGATGTGTGGTACCCAGCGCCTCTCTGTAACATCACACAAGATGTGTGGTACCCAGCGTGTCTCTGTAACATCTCTCTAGATGTGTGGTACCCAGCGTCTCTCTGTAACATCTCTCTAGATGTGTGGTACCCAGCGTCTCTCTGTAACATCTCTCTAGATGTGTGGTACCCAGCGTCTCTCTGTAACATCTCTCTAGATGTGTGGTACCCAGCGTCTCTCTGTAACATCTCTCTAGATGTGTGGTACCCAGCGTCTCTCTGTAATATCTCTCTAGATGTGTGGTACCCAGCGTGTCTCTGTAACATCACACAAGATGTGTGGTACCCAGCGTCTCTCTGTAACATCTCTCTAGATGTGTGGTACCCAGCGTCTCTCTGTAACATCTCTCTCCCTCTAGATGTGTGGTACCCAGCGTGTCTCTGTAACATCTCTCTAGATGTGTGGTACCCAGCGCCTCTCTGTAACATCTCTCTAGATGTGTGGTACCCAGCGTCTCTCTGTAACATCTCTCTAGATGTGTGGTACCCAGCGTGTCTCTGTAACATCTCTCTAGATGTGTGGTACCCAGCGTGTCTGTAACATCTCTCTCTCGCTAGATGTGTGGTACCCAATGTGTCTCTGTAACATCTCTCTCCCTCTAGATGTGTGGTACCCAGCGTGTCTCTGTAACATCTCTCTCCCTCTAGATGTGTGGTACCCAGCGTGTCTCTGTAACATCTCTCTCTAGATGTGTGGTACCCAGCGTGTCTCTGTAACATCTCTCTAGATGTGTGGTACCCAGCGTGTCTGTAACATCTCTCTAGATGTGTGGTACCCAGCGTGTCTCTGTAACATCTCTCTAGATGTGTGGTACCCAGCGTGTCTGTAACATCTCTCTCTCGCTAGATGTGTGGTACCCAGCGTGTCTCTGTAACATCTCTCTCCCTCTAGATGTGTGGTACCCAGCGTGTCTCTGTAACATCTCTCTCTAGATGTGTGGGTACCCAGCGTGTCTCTGTAACATCTCTCTAGATGTGTGGTACCCAGCGTGTCTCTGTAACATCTCTCTAGATGTGTGGTACCCAAGCGTGTCTCTGTAACATCTCTCTAGATGTGTGGGTACCCAGCGTGTCTGTAACATTCTCTCCTCCCTCTAGATGTATGGTACCCAGCGTGTCTCTGTAACATCTCTCTCCCTCTAGATGTGTGGTACCCAGCGTCTCTCTGTAACATCTCTCTAGATGTGTGGTACCCAGCGTGTCTCTGTAACATCTCTCTCCCTCTAGATGTGTGGTACCCAGCGTGTCTCTGTAACATCTCTCTCCCTCTAGATGTGTGGTACCCAGTGTGTCTCTGTAACATCTCTCTCTCTCTAGATGTGTGGGTACCCAGCGTGTCTCTGTAACATCTCTCTAGATGTGTGGGTACCCAGCGTGTCTCTGTAACATCTCTCTCCCTCTAGATTGTGTGGTACCCCAGTGTGTCTTCTGTAACATCTCTCTCCCTCTATGAATGTGTGGTACCCAGCGTGTCTCTGTAACATCTCTCTCCCTCTAGATGTGTGGTACCCAGCGTGTCTCTGTAACATCTCTCTAGATGTGTGGTACCCAGTGTGTCTCTGTAACATCTCTCTAGATGTGTGGTACCCAGCGTGTCTCTGTAACATCTCTCTAGATGTGTGGTACCCAGCGTGTCTCTGTAACATCTCTCTAGATGTGTGGTACCCAGCGTGTCTCTGTAACATCTCTCTAGATGCGTGATACCCAGCGTGTCTCTGTAACATCTCTCTAGATGTGTGGTACCCAGCGTGTCTCTGTAACATCTCTCTAGATGTGTGGTACCCAGCGTGTCTCTGTAACATCTCTCTAGATGTGTGGTACCCAGCGTGTCTCTGTAACATCTCTCTCCCTCTAGATGTGTGGTACCCAGCGTCTCTCTGTAACATCTCTCTAGATGTGTGGTACCCAGCGTCTCTCTGTAACATCTCTCTAGATGTGTGGTACCCAACGTGTCTCTGTAACATCTCTCTCCCTCTAGATGCGTGATACCCAGCGTGTCTCTGTGTGGCCAGTCGGCCTGGTGGGAGGGATGAGATATGAGAGACCCGTGGTCGAGGGGGGGAAAGTCGTACGCTTCCACACTGGCTGGCGCCCCAGCCGCCCCTTCCCATTGGACATGGCTGGCTTCGCCGTGTCGCTCAAGCTGGTGATCGCCAATCAGGACGCGTGTTTCGACGGCGACGCACCGATGGGGTTCCTGGAAAGCAGCTTCCTGCAGGGATTGGTTACCATGGAAGAACTAGAACCTAAGGCAGAGAATTGTACTAAGGTGTGTGTGTGGGGCGGGGGGAGGAGTAGCTGGGTAAGGGGGGGGGATGGGGGGGAGGCGACTGGGTAAGGGAGGGGGGTGGCTGGGTAAGTGGGAGGAGTAGCTGGGTAAGTTGGGGTGGTGGCTGGGTAAGGGTGGGTAGTGGCTGGGTAAGGCAGGGGGGTGGCTGGGTAAGTGGGAGGAGTAGCTGGGTAAGTTGGGGTGGTGGCTGGGTAAAGGGGTGGGGGGGGGGTGGGGGGAGTGGCTGGGTAAGGCAGGGGGGGATGGGTAAGGGGGGTAGTGGCTGGGTAAGGGGGGAGTAGTGGCTGGGTAAGGGGGGAGGTAGTGGCTGGGTAAGGGGGGGGGTGGCTGGGTTAGAGGGGGAGGTAGTGGCTGGGTAAGGGGGGGGGTGGCTGGGTTAGAGGGGGAGGTAGTGGCTGGGTTAGAGGGGGAGGTAGTGGCTGGGTAAGGGGGGGGTGGCTGGGTTAGAGGGGGAGGTAGTGGCTGGGTAAGGGGGGGGTGGCTGGGTTAGAGGGGGAGGTAGTGGCTGGGTAAGGGGGGGGTGGCTGGGTTAGAGGGGGAGGTAGTGGCTGGGTTAGAGGGGGAGGTAGTGGCTGGGTAAGGGGGGGAGGTAGTGGCTGGGTAAGGGGGGGGTGGCTGGGTTAGAGGGGGGAGGTAGTGGCTGGGTAAGGGGGGGGTGGCTGGGTTAGAGGGGGAGGTAGTGGCTGGGTTAGAGGGGGAGGTAGTGGCTGGGTAAGGGGGGGAGGTAGTGGCTGGGTAAGGGGGGGGTGGCTGGGTTAGAGGGGGAGGTAGTGGCTGGGTAAGGGGGGGAGGTAGTGGCTGGGTAAGGGGGGGGTGGGTGTGTGTGTGTGATGTCGGTAGTGTATTAATGTGTGTGTGTGTGATGTCGGTAGTGTATTAATGTGTGTGTGATGTCGGTAGTGTATTAATGTGTGTGTGATGCCGGTAGTGTATTAATGTGTGTGTGTGTGATGTCGGTAGTGTATTAATGTGTGTGTGTGTGATGTCGGTAGTGTATTAATGTGTGTGTGATGTCGGTAGTGTATTAATGTGTGTGTGATGCCGGTAGTGTATTAATGTGTGTGTGATGTCGGTAGTGTATTAATGTGTGTGTGTGTGATGTCGGTAGTGTATTAATGTGTGTGTGATGTCGGTAGTGTATTAATGTGTGTGTGATGTCGGTAGTGTATTAATGTGTGTGTGATGCCGGTAGTGTATTAATGTGTGTGTGTGTGATGTCGGTAGTGTGTTAATGTGTGTGTGATGTCGGTAGTGTAATTAATGTGTGTGTGATGTCGGTAGTGTATTAATGTGTGGTGTGTGATGTCGGTAGTGTATTAAATGTGTGTGTGTGTGATGTCGGTAGTGTATTAATGTGTGTGTGATGTCGGTAGTGTATTAATGTGTGTGTGATGCCGTAGTGTAAGTAATTGTGTGTGTGATGTCGGTAGTGTATTAATGTGGTGTGGTGATGTCGGGGAGTGTATTAATGTGTGTGTGATGTCGGTAGTGTATATATGTGTGTGTGATGTCGGTAGTGTATTAAGGTGTGTGTTGATGTCGGTAGTGTATTAATGTGTGTGTGATGCCTGTAGTGTATTAATGTGTGTGTGATGCCGGTAGTGTATTAATTTGTGTGTGGTGTTTTTGTGTGATGTCGGTAGTGTATTAATGTGTGTGGTGATGTCGGTAGTGTATTAATGTGTGTGTGATGTCGGTAGTGTATTAATTGTGTGTGTGATGCCGGTATTGTATTAATGTGTGTGTGATGTCGGTAGTGTATTAATGTGTGTGTGGTGTGTCGGTAGTGTATTAATGTGTGTGTGATGTCGGTAGTGTATTAATGTGTGTGTGATGTCGGTAGTGTATTAATGTGTGTGTGATGCCGGTAGTGTATTAATGTGTGTGTGTGTGATGTCGGTAGTGTATTAATGTGTGTGTTGATGTCGGTAGTGTATTAATGTGTGTGTGATGCCGGTAGTGTATTAATGTGTGTGTGATGTCGGTAGTGTATTAATGTGTGTGTGATGTCGGTAGTGTATTAATGTGTGTGTGATGTCGGTAGTGTATTAATGTGTGTGTGATGTCGGTAGTGTATTAATGTGTGTGTGATGTCGGTAGTGTATTAATGTGTGTGTGATGTCGGTAGTGTATTAATGTGTGTGTGATGCCGGTAGTGTATTAATGTGTGTGTGTGTGTGTGATGTCGGTAGTGTATTAATGTGTGTGTGTGTGTGATGTCGGTAGTGTATTAATGTGTGTGTGTGATGTCGGTAGTGTATTAATGTGTGTGTGATGCCGGTAGTGTATTAATGTGTGTGTGTGTGATGTCGGTAGTGTGTTAATGTGTGTGTGATGTCGGTAGTGTATTAATGTGTGTGTGATGCCGGTAGTGTATTAATGTGTGTGTGATGTCGGTAGTGTATTAATGTGTGTGTGTGTGTGTGATGTCGGTAGTGTATTAATGTGTGTGTGTGTGATGTCGGTAGTGTATTAATGTGTGTGTGATGTCGGTAGTGTATTAATGTGTGTGTGTGTGTGATTATGTGTGTGGATTAGTGTGTGCAGCGAGCAGATAAGGTAGTGGATGCCTGATGATTACAGTGTGGTTGTCTGATACTGCTGTAGTTAGGTCTGGGACTGACACGAACGCTCACTACAACACAGACTTCAACTACACCACGCAAACACCTGTTCAACTAACTCAACACGCACACACACCCTCGACTCACCACTCACACCACCCATTCACTCCACACCTCCACTTCATCACCACCCTTCAGCTACCCCACAACACTTCACTACCACCCACCCCTTGCACTCAACACACACCACACACACTCTTCACTACACACACCACACCACCTTCACTACACACCACCACACCTTCAACTACACGACCACACACACTTCAACTACACACACACACCTTCAACTACCCACACCACACCTTCAACTACACCACACCACCACCTTCACCCACACACACACACACACCTTCAACTACACACACACACACACCTTCAACTACACACACACACACCCTTCAACTACACACACACACCTTCAACTACACACACACACACACCTTCAACTACACACCACACACCTTCAACTACACACACACATACACTTTCAACTACACACACACACCTTCAACTACACACACACACACACACACACACTTCAAACTCACACACACACACACACCTTCAACTACACACACACACACACCTTCAACTACACACACACACCTACACACACACACACAACCTTCAACTACACCACACCCACACACAACACCTTCAACTACACACACACACACCACACTTCAACTACACACACCCACCTCACACACACACACCCCTTCAACCTACACCACACCACACACCACCCTTCAACAACTCACCACACCTCACACACCACACCACAACACCTTCAACTACACACACACACACACCTTCAACTACCACACACACAACACACCTTTCAACTCACACACACCCACCCACACAACACACCACTTCAACTACCAACACACACACCTTCAACTACAACAACACCACCACACCACACACTTTCAACTACCACCACACCACACATACCCACCTTCAACTCACACACCACACAACCCCTTCAACTACACCACACTCACACCTACACACTACACACACACCACACACACCACACACCTTCAACTACACATACACTGTCAACTACACACACACACACCTTCAACTACACACACACACACCTTCAACTACACACACTACATCCACTGTTAAACTTTCCATGCGTCCCAAAAGGTTCCCTATATAATGCATTACTTTTGACCAGAGCCCTATGGGGTCTCTCTAGCTGTAAGGGTTAACGTAATGGGTCTCTCTAGCTGTAAGGGTTAACGTAATGGGTCTCTCTAGCTGTAAGGGTTAACGTAATGGGGTCTCTCTAGCTGAAAGGGTTAACGTAATGGGTCTCTCTAGCTGTAAGGGTTAACGTAATGGGTCTCTCTAGCTGTAAGGGTTAACGTAATGGGTCTCTCTAGCTGAAAGGGTTAACGTAATGGGTCTCTCTAGCTGTAAGGGTTAACGTAATGGGTCTCTCTAGCTGTAAGGGTTAACGTAATGGGTCTCTCTAGCTGTAAGGGTTAACGTAATGGGTCTCTCTAGCTGAAAGGGTTAACGTAATGGGTCTCTCTAGCTGTAAGGGTTAACGTAATGGGTCTCTCTAGCTGTAAGGGTTAACGTAATGGGTCTCTAGCTGTAAGGGTTAACGTAATGGGTCTCTCTAGCTGTAAGGGTTAACGTAATGGGTCTCTCTAGCTGTAAGGGTTAACGTAATCGGTCTCTCTAGCTCAGGGTTTCCCAACCCCCCCCCTCCCCCTTTTGTTTTGTTTTTAGCCCTAGCACTACAGCTGAGTTAAATAACCAACTCATCATTAAGCTTTGGTTATTTGAATCAGCTGTGTAGGTGCTAGGGCAAAAACCTTGTTGGGAAACCCTGGTCAAGCTATCTGTACTATGCTGATGCTGTATATGGGACCAACCAGATGTACCAAATGGCACCCTGCCCCTATATATGTTTAGGGAAAAGGGTGCCATTTGGGATGCAGTCTCAATGTACATAATGTAAGATATTATCTGAAGACTGTTTTTAAGACAAGTCAACCTATTTAAATGTTGTCGTGAATGTGTTTGTTGGTGTGTGTGTGTGTGTGTGTGTGTTAGTACTAGGGGTTGCAGAATTCTGGGAACGTTCCCAAAATTTCCCAGGTTTTTCCAGAAGTCCCAGTTGGAAGATTCCCGAGAATGAGGCGGGAACAAGCATGGAATCTCGATTCCTCCAACCAGGTTTTCTGGAAACCTGGAATTTAGCCACCGTGTGTGTGTGTGTGTGTGTTTGTTAGTAGAGTACTTGGCAGTAGATAATGATACTAAGTGGTTGAGTGTATTGTGCTGCCTGTTGAATCTGTCTGTAAGAGCGTTATTAGGTGCGTCCCAAATGACACCCTATTCCCTATACAGTGCACTACTTTTGACCAGGGCCCCATAGGGCTCTCCTAGAGAATAGGGTGT